TAAAGCGGCAAACTGGTTTTGATTTTATAGTTTGATGAATGAAATTAACTAATGGTAAATGATAAAATATATTAGTTTAAAAACAAATATTTAGCCATTGTGCACCTGTGTTTTATGTGTGTTCATTATTATGCTTTTGACAAAAAGATGATCAAACACTGATGAGAGATGATTTTTCCTATTATGATTGGCTGTATCAATCATTGTGATTGAATGTTTCAATCTTAATGTGATTGTTATTGATGTAATTGATGTTGTGTAAGTCCACACTCAAAGCTGAAGATTCCCATTGATTTAAGTATTGAACTAAATATTATTAGACTAAGGGTTTTAGATTATCAAAATTGATAAAAAGAAAGAAACTTTAGATTATCAAAATTGATAAAAAGGAAGAAACTGTTGTGGAATATTTTCCAAGGCCCATAACTTTGACCCAGTGTATCAGTTCAAACTGTCCTGACTGAGCACAGGCACCTGTAACCTTGGCTGCTGTGCTCTCAGTGTTTTGTCTCCCTGTTCCTGCCTGTTGGCGTCAGCTGATAGAGGTGTTATCATTCTATCTTGTTATGCAGCATGTTGATGATGCTCTCTGAACTAGCTAAATACATGGGTCTGGAGTAGAGTTCTTCAGAATTGACGTGGCAACTCTACCGTGAAGTCAGAACCTCTGACTCTTGGACTTGTGATGTGAATCCTCCGGCCGTTAACTCCAAATAAACCACCAGTGTTTGACATCAAAGCTACTGCTCCTACCGTGTCTCCTTCCTGAGTCGGTGACTCCCACTGCATAGCTACACAGAAGTTTCCTCTACAGTGAGTAGCTTGTTTTACGCGCTAGAATATTGACCCAAATCTGACTCCATATAAATGGCCTGTTGCTGCTGAATGCATGGGGCAAGTGACTGGAAAAAGTTTTAAAAGTTATTACATCGTTTCAGATAATACATAATAATGATAATTCATTCTATTTAGGGGCGCCTTTCAAAGCACCCAAGGACACCTTACAATTCACAACATATTCTAAGGAAAGGTTTTAAGACAGTACAAAGAATGCAGTCCGGGTGATGTTTTTTATGTGGGGTGCAGATGAGAGGGAGCAGTCCAGAATGACACCAAGATGTTGTGTTTGAGTTCTTGATAAGCCATTAAAACAGTAAAATAAGTATCTCCTGTTCACCAAAACATACCCATCTGTTATGGAAAAAGAAAGTAATCCAAAAGTATTCTAAAAGTAATCTGAATACATTTTTAAGACACGTAACTGTAACTGTATTCTGATTACTTTCAGAGCATGTATTCAGTAACTGATTACATTTACAAAGTAACCCTCCCAACCCTGCCTAGAAGTGATCCTTCGTTAGCGTGAAGAGTCTGCTAAGCTTTATGCGGTCCACAGTACCTGAGCGTGCTCCACTAGCACCCCCCCCACTTCAAAATTCTGGGCTATATAAAAATCGCTGGCCCGCGATAGTGTCTATTGGATACATTTTGGCCCTTGGACAAATGTAGTTGGTGATCCCTGATCTAAACACTCAGAGTCCTTTACCTCACCTGAGCTGTAGTTATCCGCCTCTCAGTCTGACAGCAGAGGACTCTCCTCCACCTTGTTGTTGAAACAGCTCCTTATATCCGTTAGCACAGCTAGCTAGCAACAATACATGTAACCGGTGCGCGCGCTCTCTATCTCTCACTCGCGCCACACATACTCTAACACACACCCTCCCGAGCTTGAATGACACACAGAGACCAATCGAGGGCTTTAGTGTATGATCTGTATGAAAGTGGCCATGTCGGCAGGCCACATCATGTAGACAGCCAGTCACCCTCTGTGAGGCAGAGTCAGACCCACATTTGCGCAGCGTTGCGTTCACAATACATACATAAAAAAAAGATTCCTCAGGCCAGCAGGCCACTTATCAGGCCAGGCCATCGGGAAACCTCCCGGTCCTCCCGATGGCCAGTCCGGGCCTGGCTACAACTACAACAAGATGAACATATTTGACCGTGATTTAATTGTAATACACGTTTCAAAATGATGCCGAAGTAACAACATACTGATACCGGTTATTAAAATCCATGAATTCATGTTTTGACAAGTCTGCAGACAGACGGCAGGCGAAAAATCTTTTAAAATGCATGTTTTCTGAATGGAGATCGGCTAAGCTAACGTTGTATATGCTCCGACCGTCCACACTCACAACAACGGCCTATACAGACATAAATAAAGCAGCGACTGTATTCGCCATGACACAGGCAGTCTGTGGTTTGTACTTGTTTAACTTTTGTCTAGTTTCTGAACAGATATGAGGAGCTGTGAGCTCTGAGTGCTAACACGGCTGTGTTGTTTTTCTGGGGCGCTCATTGAAGATGACGTCACGGCTCCGCCTATACTGCGTTACTAGATACTACCCCAGTTCATAAACTGTAATGGAAACGCAGCATTAAAGTGAGCCAGTCCTAACAAGGCCTAACCATGCTGCCATACCGAGCGAGGCCGTATAGTGGAAATGCGCCATTAGTACTCTGTGATGGCACAGTGTTAGTACTCTGCACTGTGGCCGCAGCAACCCCGTTTCTAATCCGTGTCACAGCAGCACAAAGTTCATGTTGTGACATCTAACTCTATCTTCACTTCATTTTACAAAGTGTGCAGCTTTGAGGAATGAAGATATACTGTATAGGGCTAGTGCCGATGGATACGTCTCTTACTATGAGTCAGAAGATTCTAGGTCCAACTCCTGGCTAGCTCCGTTCACTTCAGCAAGTGAATCAATTGGTCCTCACTTACAACAACAACTCTCTACAAACTGTCCATGAAGTCAAGACCAGACTCCGGCTAGTTTAATAAGCAGCACAATTTACATGATCTGCATTTGTCGGTTATGATGGGTTGTCTGGAAATAATGATAATTAACAGCAACAACCAAAGAGTTTTACATCATGCAGTGATTCAGAGTGATTTGGGGGCAGAGATCAGCAGGGTTGCTATTGGTTATTTGTCAGAGTCCCGACAGCATGTAAATATGCTCACTATGAAAACAACATGTAGAGAGATTTACAGATCTCTGCTGAATCAGAGCCTGTGTAGGAAGACCTTTGAATGATGTGTACTGTACGTACACAGAGACTGGTACAACATCAATAAGGTCACCAGGTCCCAGTCAACACTTTCTGGCTGTGTGTATGGGAAACCTTAAGATGTTCACCACAGTCTGTGTCTGCTTTGATTGACACATAAGGTTTTCCTGCTCTTTCTTGGATCCTGACAAAGACCTTCAATGACACTCCAAACACTCAGAGCATACCTTAACCTTAGAGCAGCTGCCATTTACACAGCTGTGCTCATCTGGAGCCCTGCCAATGTTTTCAGTCCTCACGTGTTCAGTAGCAACAGAACACATCACACACACGCACGCACACACACACGCACGCGCACACACGCACGCGCACACACACACACAATCAGGTAAATTAATTTCCCATTAATATACTAATGACATCATCAAACACATGTTTTATAATTTGAACTGTCGCACACTAACGATACAGAGAGGGTTTACCCGTAGTTATCTTAGATGCAATCATTCCTGAACATAGGTTAGTAGAGGACAATAAACACAGATGACCAGGTGTTCCGGACAGGTATCTGCAGTGGATGGATGTCCGGACACACACACCCAAGATGCAGGAACAGGGACACTCTGCCCGGATAAATGTTTACTAAATCACTAATCCGTGGTAATGTTCCTGTTGATTCTATATCAAAAAGCTCCAGCTGTGTTTTCACAGCTGTGAGAAAGGACTATTTGTTTGAAATACATCCAGAGCTGCTCAATGTTTGCCAGTTCCTTTCAGAGAACTCTGAGGATAGAAGTCTGCCGACGGGTGAGAGCAGACAGCTGGAGAAACATCTGCTCATCTCCTCCTGTCTTACAGCACCCTCTGCTGTCAGGAGGACAAATTGAGTAAACACAGCCACAACAATATATTTCAATGCAGGATCAGGGGGTTTGCTGTGATTTAGAGTCAGCGTTCTTTTAACTTTGCTCATATCCACTGCTGTCTGACACGGTGCTGCTGTGATAATATGGTAAAGAGAGGAAACACACATTGTGGGGGGTTTTGGACTTTTGGTTGGTCAAAACAAACGATATTCCGCTTTGTCATGACATTTTATAAACCAATGATTTTTGATAAATCATTTATCAAAAAGGAAAATAATAATAATTGTAATGATAATTGCAGCCCTATGTTTTCAAGTAAACCTACACATATATAGATATACAAAATATTGAAATAATGTGTGCAAAATATTATTACTTACTGCTTTATCGGGGTCATTTCAAACATTATATTTCCAAACTGCACTTCTTGCAGAACTTACAATGAACTTCAATGATAATTCAAAAATATATTATTTCCTTTTATGAATTGCGTGTTTTGCCCCCTTCACAAATAGATTTTAGAACAATATTAACAATATTACTTAAATTCATTTAAAAATATTTACAACATTGTTTATGTGTGAATTTCCTGTGTATCAAGAGATATACTAAAAGTATAACTGCTGTCAAGTTGTACAAATGTAATTTTAAAAGATGACTATTTTATAAAATTGTAAGTGGTATTAACATGAGTTTTATACATACGTTTTTGATTACGAATATAAACAGTTGTAAAGATTACAAAGAATAGTAAGCATATGCTCAATGACCTTCAAGATTATGAGGGATTCCTTAGAAGATATTCTATTCAAAACGTTTGAGAACCCCATGTTTAAATTATGTAAACCATAGAATTAGGCACTGTTCAATACTACGATAATTAATGTGGAATAAGTTGTATTAAATGTATTACTTAATAATGAACTAGTTAATAAATGACTGTCATATAATATCACAGTTTTCACCACTGAGAGAGGTATAGCCTCTTTGTGGTACTGTCCGCAGAAACCCTCCTCCCGCCCCGGACCCCCAGGGGGCAGCACTGCTCTGGGGAAGGGCCGGCTGCTGCTGGAAACACCCGGAAACAGCCCGTACAGACGAAGTGGTTAGCAGCGTTAGCAGCTAGCATCCTACCGTGTTTACCTGTGTGTTAAAGCATCTGAGCTGTCAGCTGTTTGTGGCAACGTTTCTACACCGGAAGCGAGTAAGATCATTGGAGATGGCTGACGGCAGAAGTGAAGATTTATTTGATAACATTCTGTTGGCGGATGAAAGGTGAGCTTTCTGCCAGCTGTGCTGTTTTGTTTACCTGGGCACGTGCCTGACGTCAGCTGATTTTCTATAACGTGAGCGCTTTACAACACAATGGCATATCAGCCATGCACACACATAGAGACAGCACACATAGAATAGAATAGAAATAAGCGGTTTGTAGGCTGCACTTTGGGATAAATAGTACCTTTTCAAAAAACACTTGGCTAAAGTCTGAAGCGTGATTGATGATTCAACCCTTAAACAAGTGTCAGTTTAATACTAACACTTTACACTTATTAAATATTTCTGATATTTTATTCCTGCAATCAAACTGCTTTAGTAAGTTATTATTTTATTTTTTTGCAGTCTTGTGGAACCATTGGGAGTTCTTCCTTCATTCGAAATACAAATGTATCTTCAGAAAAAATGTTCACTGTAAATCAGATTCTCTTCAGGATATACACTCACTGACCACTTTATTAGGTTCACCTTGCTAGTAATGGGTCAGACCCAGTGGCGGCCGTCCAATAGGGGCATTTCCCACATTACAAATAAAAAAATATATTTTAATTTTTAATAAACAAGGTAAATATTATACAATTGGTATCAGTAAAATGTATAATCTACAATAAAATCTCGTTTAAAATTGTGTTACGATGTCTAAAGTTACTGATAAGTAGGGATGGGTATCGACAGAGCCCTAGAGAGATAAGAGTTACGACACTCCCATAGACCTCCGTTGTAAAAAATGGCGGCGCCTACTTCCGGGGTATGGACATCGAAATAGTTCAAAATATTACCTAATTAACTTTTTATTTAATTATTCATGCATATTTTACTAATCACATTACATTTCATTTAGCTGACGCTTTTATCCAAAGCGACTTATAATGACCGATTACAGGGACATTCTCCCTGGAGTAACTAAGGGCTAAGTGCCTTACTCAAGGGCACACTAGTGGTGGTGTTCCTGGCGGGATTTGAACTCACAGCCTTCCGATCTTCAGCCCACCTCACTATCCATTAGACCAATCACTACCCGCGAAAAAAAAGAAAAAGTTTTAACAACATTATTTATTGACTTTTCATTCCGGTATAATCATTTTGCGCAAAGATGGCACTGTTTGTCAGAGCACTTCATCCTTCTGGGATTTCATGAAGAACAGCTCCAACGCCTGTGTGTATGGGAACGCCTCTGGTGCTGGTCCATTAACTGCCAGTGTTTCCCACAGATCTGAAATATACTTTGGGGGGTGGTGGTAGCGGGGGGGGGTTGAGGTGACGTGCAACAACATTAACCTTTCTGTTGGTCGCTTGTTAGCAGACCCTTCACGCGATGGCAGAGCGAACAGGTACAGGTACAGGCAGGGTCCATAATGATAGCCCTATAGTTTAAATCTACTACCCACACATGAACATATGGACATGGGTTACTATTTTAAAAAATAAATGTATTTATTAATGTATTTAGGAACCTATCCATGTGATCTTTAGTGGGGGTCGACCTCAAATCCTCTAGGGGGGTCCAGGGGCATGCCCCCCCGGTAAGATTTTATTTTTTATTTTGGAGTTAAATGCATCAATCTGGTGCATTTTGAGGGGAAAATAAAGAGACTAGATCTATGGAAACACCTATATTTAACAGAACTGTATACATTTCAATAATCATAAAATCAAGGCCATAACCAATAACATACCATTTCCAATATGAAAAAAACACTGAAACTTGTTTATTAATTTAGTTTTGGTTCATTTATAGTTGTGAGTGTGTCTGTGCTCCTGAATCAGCCTCTCCTGTCTCCCTCCTCTCCCCCCCCTCCTCTTTGAGGCAGCAGCAAAGACTAGTTTTCTCTCAACAAGTTTTAAAAGTGTATCTTACCTTTTTTCACCTAGTTAACTTTTTATTTATTTATTCATGCATATTTTACTAATCACATTACATTTCATTTAGCGGACGCTTTTATCCAAAGTGACTTATAATGACCGATTACAGGGACATTCTCCCTGGAGTAACTAAGGGCTAAGTGCCTTACTCAAGGGCACACTAGTGGTGGTGTTCCTGGCGGGATTTGAACTCACAGCCTTCCGATCTTCAGCCCACCTCACTATCCATTAGACCAATCACTACCCTCTCAAATGGAAATATGTGTTTACATAAATGGTGACCACACCGTTTGAGACCCACTGAGAACTTAGACTAAGTTAACTATCTAAACACTCAGAGAGTCCTTTACCTCACCTGAGCTGAGGTTATCCCGAGCTTGAATGACACACAGAGACCAATCAAGGGCTTTGATTTATGATCTGTATGACAGTGGCCATGTCGGCAGGCCACATCATGTGGACAGCCAGTCACCCTGTGTGAGGCAGGCCACTTAACAGGCCAGAAGGAGGCGAGATCAGAGCAAGGGAGCGAGGGATCATTGTCTACAAGTTAATCGATCGCAGATGGCGTCGTGGTCACGGACGAATAAAAAAAATATATATAAAAAAATGTTTTATTAAAAAAACTAAATGGGTCTCGAAATATAATTGGGCGGCCGTTAATATACCTGGGCGGCCCGCCCAAGTATAGTCTATGTGTGGGAAACCCTGATTCATTATAATTATTGTACAAAATGGTATAAGAATGCAAACTTAAATTGATTATAGTCTATTATCAATTCAGGTTAAGAAACTAGTGTTGCTTGCATCCTATTTTAAAGGCATTTATTTTTATACTCTACTAAAATGCAACAACAAAAGGGTTTGATTCTATTAATTGTGTCTTTTTTATTGCACTTTGGCAGCAGATTCCTGTAGCTTCAGATCTGAGTTGTCTTATTAGTAAGCCTAATTTATACTTTTGTAGCAACACTATTTTTATAAAATGGCAAATAAAGGGTTCAAAGTCTTTTCTTTTTTCCTGTGTCATATGTGGCAGCACTGTTCAATGTTTCTTGAAAACATTACCCACTGTAGTATGTGACGTGTGAATAAACTCCAACTCTGTATCAACAACACTGTTGTGTAACTTCAGTTAAATACTTGTATGTGTGTAGATTAGAAAGAGGTAAGATAAAGGATCTGCAGTATTTTATGAAGTATTAATCGTACAAAGGTCAGTTTTATACAAGTAGAAGTGTGTATTTACCTGGTTTGGACTGGTAGATCTCGGCAGACTGGCAACTTTAAAAGTATCTCTCGGTTCAAAAAAGGTTGGACACCCCTGCTGTAGGCGGACTATGCAGATGCATGCGGCCACTAGGGGGCCCCCAAGCTGAAAGTATTTATTTTTTTATTCATCCAAAAAACAAAAAAAGTATAATTCATACACACAAAGATGAACAAAATTAGTAGAAGCGGGAGGGCTGAAGCATAGCTTATGGAAAGTAGCCCTCCCGTGCATTAACCTAATACAACATCGGCATTATTGCGTCAAACGTATAGAAATGAAGGAGTACAAAGAAATAAAGAAAACAGGAGAAAAAATGTAATAAAAGTTAGGGCAGGAAAACAATAAATGCATATATATATATATATATATTAGGGGTGTAACGGTACACGTACCGAAATTATTCGGTACGGGCCCTTCGGTTCGGTACAGGTGTGTACCGAAGTGTACCGAACGAATATAACGTTAAACGTAAAAAATTGAGAACGTGAATAACTTTTTGGAAGTAATCTCAGGTGCTGCGTCGCAGCATTCAGAGTAATTTGCTCACATTGGGTTCAACGCGTCATAGAGCGAGCAAGTCATTTCATTGGACGAGAGGGATACTATGAGAGCTGGTCAGAGGGATGCGTTCAAATGTAGTCAGTAATTTGAGGAACTGTCAAAAATTAATGGCGAACGCAGATAAAGTTGAGCTCGAAAATCCTCCAGCATCATTGAAGTCTCCGGTTTGGGAACATTTTGGTTTCGCAGTTACGTACAAGGATGACGGACAAAGACAGGTGGACCGAACCAAAGCTGTTTGTCGGCATTGTTCAACTAAAATTGGTTACACGGCTGGCAATACATCAAACTTGCACACTCATTTGAAAAGGCATCACCCGAACGTGAATATCACCGGTACCAAAAGAAAAAAGACTGAAGTGTAAACCCAACTCCCACTAGCATTTAAGCCTCCACCACTCGCAAAAAGATCAGACCGAGCCAAAGCTATTACAAACACCAAATATCCTTATGTTGCCATGTTAGCAAAGCGCTACCTGGCTGTATCGGCTACCTCTGTCCCTAGCGAGAGGGTTTTCTCCACAGCAGGAGACATTGTTAGTGCCAGCAGATCTGCCCTTTCGGCAAGCAATGTGGACAAGTTAATTTTTATTTAAAAAAACATGAAAATACAATGACAAGCAAGTCCTATTGTCAAACTGGCTGCTTAGGTGCTAGTACAGTAGGCTACAGTTCAAATACAGATTATTTCAGTTCATCGAAATGCTGCACCTTAATGTTCATTTTATTATATTTTGTATTTATTTGAGTGAATATTCACAGTTTAATAATAATTAAAAACCCAAAACTAATAGTTTATGTTTTGTGAGTACTAGTACAGTAAAGTTCAAATACAGATTATTTCAGTTCATCGAAATGCTGCACCTTAATGTTTATTTTATTATATTTTGTATTTATTTGAGTGAATACATTATTCACAGTTTAATAATAATAAAAAAAAAAAATATATATATAAAAATTCTGCTGTACCGAAAACGTACCGAACCGAACCGTGACCAAAAAACCGAGGTACGTACCGAACCGAAATGTTTGTGAACCGTTACACCCCTAATATATATATATATATATATATATATATATATATACGAAAACTAGATATAGGGTCATTTTCTGCACATGTCAATCGCAGTTTCAACTATCTTTTTTTGGAAATGAAAATACTATATATAAATATATACATAGGTACACATGTACTTGGCAAATGAATAATAATAATAATAATTATATATGCATAATTGCTATAAACATTGTGAACACTTATTTTCAAGTGGACTTTTTTTACATTCATATGTTCACGCTTTGG